AAGGTAATTCTGAGAAACTATAAATATGTATATATTAAATTAATGAAAAAAAATTATTTTTATAAGATGTTGAATTTCTTTTTTTAAATGTTTTAAATAATTTTCTTTGAATGATAATAAGTACAAATTATAGAGAAAAAAAATTTTAATTGGGTCAACCCGCGGGTTGACTTGTAACCCGTAATGGACGGATTAGGATTTGCCTTCATTGACCCGTGACCCGTTTTAACCCAACCCATTTTGACCTATTACCCGTTTGGACCCGACCCAACCCGCCCGCCCGTTTGCCAGGTCTAGGGTCATGACTTCAGGCTGCTTCCATTTGGTGCAGGAAGGCGAGTTTGCCCTGGTGCACAGCTGGGTCTCAATCTGGTGACCTCCATGCTGGGTCACCTCCTGCATCATTTTTGTTGGAAGCCGATAGATGGGGTGAAACCAGAAGATATCGACATGTTTGAGAATCCCGGATTGGTGGCTTACATGCGGACACCGTTAGAAGCCGTGGCCACGCCTAGGCTGCCTTCACATTTGTACAAACGCATCGCCGTGGACATATAGAAGACTAGAAGTTTACACATTTTGCTGAGTTTCTCTGCTTTCTACTGGACCACATTTCTTTCCTTCTTGATCAGTAATCTTTTGATTAAGGGAACCAAATAAAAAACGCCCCATGTGAATGATCTTAATCATTGTTTTTATTTGCTACTTAATTGATATGAGTTTAAAAATATCATATTTTTCGTTGTTATTTGCATTGGCTATGAGCATTACTTCATTTACAGAGAGAGGAAGTAAAGGATAGTAACAATTAATAAACTTGTAAAACATGTGAATTTGAGAATGAATTCAAGGTAAAAGCTAAAAATCTCACTTAAATCAAATGCCCAGAGGAGAGAATGAGTCACGGAGTCACGAATTGCCTCTGTTGGGATGCTCTGTTTCCTTTACTGCTTCTTTTTGGTTTGGTGAAGGAGAAGAAGATGAGTGGTGGTGGTGTGAGCAAAATCAGGGACGATCTCTTATGCTTTGCTGCTTCTGTTTGGGCTGCTTCTGTTTGGCCCGGTAAAGGAGTGGAAGATGAGTGGCAAAGGCGTGAGGCTGTGAGCTTTGTCAGGATGCTGCCCACGGAGGAGAGGTGCTAAGCTACCGGTGGAGATGCAGGGAGATTAGGATACTCTGTTGCTGATGTTCAGTTCAGCAAAGGAGATGAGGCCGACGGAGGACTAGTGAGTGAGATGTCAACGGAAGTGGAGCAGGGAGATTAAGTGCTTTGTTGCTTCTGTTCGGCGGTGGAGATGCCGATGGACTCACAGAGATGGAGCAGGGATGAGGGAGAGGGATGCCGATGGCCCGATTGCAGTTCTGCACTTCTGCTTCTGTTCTGCTTTCTAATTTTGCTTTCCAATGTTGTTTTTACATAATAGTCCCTGCTTATTAGGGTTTTTAATTTAATTTAAGTGTAAAGTTAAGGTTTTTTATGTAATATCATTAAAAAGATAAGATAAAATAGGTAAATCACATAAAAAATTAAAAAAAAAAGTTAAAAAGCAGATGGCAGGTTCAACCGGCGGGTGGAACGGGCTGAGTATTTGGGCCGCGTTTAACGGGTCAATTGGGTTTGAACAGATCAACTTTCAAAACGGGTCAATGTATGAAACCGGCCCCTTTTTATGCCCAGGTCCGGTTGAACCGAGCCGGGCCGGGTTTTAAAACCATGCTCTTAATCTAAGAAACATGTGGTCCGCTCAAAATAGAAGGGCAATTTCGATATTAATGTGAAATTTGAAGAAGTGGCATTTTATAAATGAAAATACTGTAATTTCATATTATCGACAGATAATAAAATGAAATTTATTTATAATATTATATATATATATTTAATATTATATTATATATTTTTTAATATATTATATTATAATTATAAATTTACAATTTTATATAAAATTATAATTATAGTGTTTTACATGGCAGAACTCAGAGACAGGGCAAACAAAAGGAGGGAAACCGATAACGGCTTATCTTCAACTGAAAAACAAATAATAAGCACACAATTCCCATCTCTTGCTTCCTTGAGCTTGAACTCAATGAATTCCTCTTCCTCAATATCCCGTCTCGAAAATGAATCCAAAACACCAAACACAGCAATGGTGGAGAGGGAAGTCGGAAACGAGGGCCTGAGAAAACAGATTCTCAGGAAAGGAACTTCATGGCAAACTCCTTCCCCTGGAGACGAAGTTGAAGGTAGACACAGACACACACTCTTTCTCAAATCCATAAATTCCCATTCCTTCCTTCAATTTTCTACCATTGCAAACCGGTAAATGTTTAAAAGCTTAAACTTTGGGAGAAATCTGATTGTTTACGTATTTCAGTTCATTTCAGTGGACATATTGAAGGTGGGGAACTTTTGGATTCAAGCCGCGACAAAGGGGTTCCCTTCACATTCAAATTAGGCCAATGTAAGTGGGAATTTGGAGCCTATAATTTTGTCTTGGTAAAGTTAGATATGTGTTTTGTTTCATAATATTGTATCAGGTGAGGTTATCAAAGGATGGGATGAAGGGGTTGCCACGATGAAGAAGGGTGAGAGAGCAATCTTCAAAATACCACCAAATTTGGCTTACGGGGAAACTGGTTCTCCGCCACTTATTGCCCCCAATTCGACTCTTATATTTGACATTGAGTTGCTATCTTGGAGAACCGTCAGGGATATCACTGGTGATGGAGGAATCTTGAAGAAGATACTGAAGGAGGGTGAGGGATGGGCCACTCCTAGAGAAACTGATGAAGTTTCAGGTAGCACTTACTTTAATTGCCTAGTGCAATTATTCTTCGAACTTATGATATCCAGCATAGAGTGGTTGTCAAGATGAAATTCAAGCAGATATCTTGAGTGGTTTAATTTTGCTCTTAGTAATAATGTCTTTCTACTTTTGTAGTTAAGTATGAGGCGTGGTCTAATAATGGAACCCTTGTGTACAAAACAAATGGCATTCTGCACTTTCATGTTAGTGATGGTAAGTTGAAGTTGCTCAGTGTGTTATTTTTGTTTTGAATTATGTCTCAAAACATATCCCAAGACAGTTGCAAAATGTGAATGTTCATATGATAACTTCATATTGTTTACATAATTTCTGACATCAGATCATCAATGTCCTGCTGTAAGCAAAGCAGTGAAAACTATGAGAAAGGGAGAAAAGGCAGAGTTAGCAGTAAAGTTCTCTTGTAAGTCCTGTTGCTAGTCTGCTTCTAGTTCCATCCAGCATGATTAAAATGTACTTCATAGTGTAATCCAGCAATTTTCTGCTTCCTTCCTGCTTTCCCTTGAATGTAAGGTCATTAATCATTTTGCAGATGGATTCAACCCAAACAAAAATAGAGTTGTTGATCTTAAGGGTGGTGTTCTAACTGATTCCAATTTGAAGATTCTGCTTGAACTGGTATCCTGGAAAAGCATAATCGATGTCACAGGAGATAACAAAGTTCTTAAAAAGATAACCAAGGCTGGTGAAGGTGTTGATCGTCCCAACGAAGGATCCCTGGTGAAAGGTGACTTGTAAAAAACATCATCCATGTTTCTAAAAGTGTTTTGAACTAGACATTTTGTTTTATCCCTTTTGTGCTTCTGTTTTCTCAGTGATATATACTGGAAAACTTGAAGATGGAACAATTTTTGAGAGGAAGGGGTCTTACGAGGAACCTTTTGAGTTCATAACTTTGGAAGGTGTCTTGTATTTCTCAAGTCGAGCAAGCAGTTTAACTTTTCATGTTATTGTTTCATTGACTTCAATTTTTTATGTTACTTTTTGCAGAGCAAATTAATGAAGGTTTAGATAGAGCAATCATGACAATGAAGAAAGGGGAAGAGGCCTTGGTGACTGTTAATGAGAAAAATACATGTGACAATGAGCAAAAGGACCCCAAAAATTCATTGCTTCATTATGAAGTCAAGTTGATTGATTTCACAAAGGTTTTGCTTTGCAACTCTGTGCATCTAATCATGTTAGCCATGCTGCTCTCAGACATTTTCTTTTTTCGTCTTTTCCCATTCCCATAATAGTTATACTGCTTTCATACCATAGTTGAGGATGATTTAACCACCTATACTAGTCTTTAACAATTATGGATGCTGCTTGTATATTCAGGAAAAACCATTTTGGAAGATGGACACAAATGAGAAGATAGAGGCTTGTGAAAGGAAGAAACATGATGGGAATTTGCTGTTTAAGGCAGGAAAATTTTGGCGTGCCTCCAAGAAATATGAGAAGGCATGTGACCTATTGTGAGTCAATGCATTTAAGCAAGAATAATATTGATAAAAACATAATCTGGCATATTTCTTGACTGGTTTGTTTCTTCATTTGTGCTGAAAACTGCTTTTAAAACCAATGTCAGGCTGCAAATTTTGTCGAGTTTGATCACTCTTTCACTGATGAAGAGAAGTGCATAGCAAAAGACTTGCGAATATCATGTAATTTGAACAATGCAGCTTGCAAACTCAAATTGGGCGAGTATCATGAAGCCACAAGACTCTGTTCAAAGGTTTTTTCCTCTCTTCTGGCTTCTTCCCTCAGTGTTTCCCTCTCTGCACCATAAATACATAAGAAGAGTCAAAGACTAGTTTTAGTATATCATGACCTGAGTAAAATAAACTTTTGAGCATTTTCTTTTTCTGCTGTTAATAGTATATGACATTGCAACAGACCAGGCAGCTCAACGCAAAAGACTAACCTGTTAGATGAAGATATCGCGCCCCATTATATATAACTCAAGATCTCCATCTTATGTAGCCTGCAGCCTGCTTACTCTCCTTTGGAATGTTTTGGCTTGTGACAGGTCTTAGAGGTTGATCCACTGAATGTGAAGGCTCTCTTCAGAAGGTCCCAAGCGTACCTAAACCTCTCAGAATTAGAGAAAGCTGAGGTAGATATCAAGAGAGCATTGACCCTTGATCCAAGCAACAGGTAGATATACATCCCTGCAGCCCCCTTCCTCTTTCCCATTCATATTTGTTATCTGTCCCTGACAGAATGTTGTTTTCCTCTTCTTATAATTTGCTCTAAACATTGCAGGGAATTGAAACTTGAATGCAAGGAGATAAAAGATAAGCAGAATGAATATGGCAAATACCAAGCTGAAATGTACAGTGGCATGATCTCGAGAATGCGCGAACCTGCAGGAAGCTCCATGGATTAGATGTTCTAAGCTATAAAGGTTTACTGGGGATATTGGAGCCACCATTTTGAACCAAATTTCATCAAATGAATCTTAGAACTCCCCTTTTCTTTTTTGGTACTTCAATGAATCCTAGAGGCAACATTATATATATATATATATATATCAATTTCATTTTGGTTTTGTTCCTTTATACATATATATAGGAAGGTAGTAGGGTCAATGAAAATGTATTGTCTTACAATTTAAAAATTCAATCTATTTGTTGTTAGATCATGTACCTTTCATAACTTTGTCCTTAAAATATAATCTTGGGTATTAAGTCACATTTGTCAACCAACCCAAGCATTTGCAAATAACTAGTGAAAAAAATTAGGTTACATTTAGTATGATTGTGGTTTTTGGTTTTTAATTTTAGTTTTCAACAATTATAAAATTGTTGAAAACTAAAATTAAAAACAAAAAATAAATCACTTGGTTGGAACAAGTTTCAACACTAACAATTAAAATTGTAAACTTGTATGGTAATATTAAAATTATTTTTGTTTCTACGATTTTTTTAGTAATCATAATAATATTTTAATAAATAAAAAATTAAATTATATTTTATTTAGAGTTACTAAATTTATGATAATTAAAATTAAAAATTCTACTCATATTAAACGAAACCTAAATAAACAAGGAATGGGTTATATAATAACCATCCTAAATTTACTAACCATATTAAGGTAAGACTTGATTGATCTATGTAAGCAAAATTTGGTGGGTTTGGAATCGGTGGTTAGGAAGTGTGGTGGTGACTTGAGGGGGGATAAGATATAGTGGTTTTGGGCATGCTTTTTTGATGATAGCATTAGTTGCCAACATCAAAAGCAAAACTTTCATAATCTCACCAACCCACCACCTACCATTACTTGGGTCCCACATCCCACCTCCAAACTCTGACCAAATCCACACCCAACCAACCCCTATAATGCCAAAAAAAATTGTTGAAATTAGTGATTTGGTAAGCTTGATTTCATCACTAGTGGACATCTTTCTTTTTTTTTTATGATTTTAATTTTTTATGGATAATGATTGAATTGGGAACCTTTATCTGAGAATGAAAAGAACTAAACAGTATTAATTTCCCACGATAGCTTCTGACTTACTAGGTTGTTCCTTCAAGTTTGTTACAATTGTTCCTGTTCAACTAACTCTTGGTAGAGCAATGCTAGGGGCACTCGCTTTTCGCACTCTCTGGCCAACACTTCCCCTTTCACTGGGCCACGTAAGCTTCTTTAAAGCTTTCAGCGCAACTTCTCCGAAACCAAGATAACGTAGCCCAATAAAAGAGAAAGCGCTGACTGGAGAGTGCGAAAAGCGAGTGCCCCTAGCATTGCTCCTCTTGGTATTCCTGTTGCTGTTTTAAATAATTAAAATTTCGAAATTTTAAGTTAAAAAATTTTAAATTTAAATTCTTAAAATAGATAAAGAAAAATTATAAAAAATAAAATCATACTTATTGTATAATTTAATAATTTAATTACTGTTTTATATAACATTAATATTTAAATAAAATTTATTTTTATATATTTTTATATAAATGAATAATAAAAGATATAATAAAGACACCTTAACAGGTGTTTTAAAGACGCCTGCTCCACTTTGAAAAAGTGGGGAGTGCAAGCGCAATGATCCAGCCACCATTCTTAAATAAGAAAATATCATTAAACTTTAGTCTCTCAAAGTACTATAG